TGACGATTAATAGATCATTACCAACTTAAAACCCCATTAATTATAATATTCTCTGTTGTAAAAGCCCATTACTCTGTCATGTATAAAGTTTGGGCCCAAAAGATAGGTCGTGAAAATTCTCAAGAAAAGAAGTCCAATTGTGGATTATTTAATTTTTACGGATGAATAAAATGGATTTTATTTCCATTTTATTCCAACTTAAAACCCCATTAATTATATTATCCGTTGTAAAAAAGCCCACTACTTTTGTCATGTATAAAGTTTGGGCCCAAAAAGAAGTCCAATTGTGGATATTTGATTTTGTATGTGGGTCTTAATTAAGTTTTTCCATATCCATTAAACTTAAAACTTATGTAATTGTAATATATTTATTTCTGACTAGTTGTGTCTGAAGGGGGTAAATTTGGCAGGCTTGGGCCGAACTGGCAAAGATCGATGGGTCTGCTGAGCAAATACGGCCCAATAAATGATGGTTTACTAAAAATGGGACGGAAGCTCGCCTATGAAGCGCCCAATAGTGCGAGGCTCACCAACAGACAGTTCGCACAAGACGGATATTGACTATGGATCGGGTTGCATAAGAAGGAACTGAAGAAGTAGAAGGCGAGCTGGCCGACTTGCCGAGGAGTCGTTGGAAGCACATATTTGAAGATATTCTTCGAGAATTGACAAGGAAAACATACAAATTAGACGCAATTATCGTGAAATTAGCCCAAATCTTGTACGAAAGTAAAACGTAAAAAAAGAAAGAACCATTCGAAGAGAAACCTCCTATATAAACGAATGCATGAAACCATCTAGTGTTACGTTCGTTACAATCTTTGTCTTTAATATTTTTTTCGTTCATTGTTTTATAGCCGCCAGCCCTAGGTACGACGTCCGGTGAGCTCTCTACCGGTAAAAAAAAAATAGGGTTTGAAGGTGTAAATCCTGCACCATCAAAAAGTAGCATAAGTTATAAAAAGGTCAGTCGAGCAAAACAAGAATAAAAAAAGATATATAAAAAAAAAAAAGTAAATAATGCAGCATTAACAAGGCCTAAAAAGTTATTGGGACAATTAATTAAGTAATCCATATTAAATAAGCAAATAAAGCAATATTTAATTTGTATTGTACTACAAATTAAACTTGTATTATAAAATACATAGTCCAAGAAATCTTTAAGACTATTTGTCGCCTCCATAATGAAGTAGTACAATTTAGGTTATGACCAGTCAAAATCGAAAAGAATATAAAAATTAAAATCAAGGGCACATACATTATCACAAAACCAATATTAATTCTTGTTTATTATAAAAAAAACAAGACCATGTGAAGGCTACTAATTTCAAGGTTGTCTTCATTAAGTTATATATATTGCATTAAACTTCCAATAATGCCCTCACATTATTTGGTGTTATTGACTTATTTCTGATATTTTTTATCATGTTTCTAATTATTCAAAAAAAAAATTGTTACAAAGAAAAAGTGATTTTTCTTAAGATGTATATATTTCATTAATTACAATTAATTAGAATTATCTTAATTAAGTAAAAAAAAAAAAAAAAAAAAAAACATTATCTTCAGGTGTGGTGGACCAGCAAACTTTCCCACAATTTTTGGCGTTTAATTGTGTTTATCAAATAAATTAGAGTGGGTCCCACTTACTATAACTCGCACGTGGGCCAATCGCGTCTTTTAGCTGAGAGATTATTTAATTTCCGCTGCCCCACTTGTAAAGTAGAGACTGCCCGGGCCATGTTTGGCTGCCCGTGTTGGTCGAGGTTTTCCGATAGGAAGTGATAAATGTTATTTCAGATTAATAATGACGTTTCGACTTAAAATGTGATTTTGACTATTTTGGAATTTTAATTTGGAAAATCTCATATCACGGGATTTGTAGTTCTTTAAGTTGGTTTTATAATGCAATCTGAATTACATTGGTTGTCGAGTGAAATGATATGAATGAATCAATGTACACTTCCTACAACTTAGGTGATTCAAATTGGATTAGAAAGTTAAATCAAAAGATTGCGGTTTATGTGTTTCAAATTTTGCGAAAATCGAACTAGAAAATAGTTAAAATTACATCTGCAATCATAACGATATTAGTAAAAGTTTATGTGAAAGGAACATTGCGGCCAAGTTCATGCAACATTTCATGTATTATATATAAGATATTTTGAGTGATTGCATTATTTCATTTTGCAATAATTAGAATTCTCAAATAATGAATACTATATATATAAATATATATAGGAAAAATGATCAATGTGAATCGTATTTAATTTGAAACAAAAACAAAGAAAAAATAAGTCCATTTATTATATGAAAGACTCACATTTGTTTCCACGTATTCACATACTATAGGTGGTTCATATAATTTTTGGAAAAAGTTGGAGGGGACACAAACCTAA